GGAAAGGTCAAACTGCAATTATTTGTTTCTAATTCTAAAACAAATAAGTTTTATTCTTTAAGGATGATAAAACTTAAATCGTACCTGAAATGTAATTGTGAAAATTAGAGATATCACAGTAAATCTTATTAACAAGTTTTGTTTCGAAGTAATTTGTGGATCCGCTAATTTAACGAATTGATAGGATTTTTCCAATCTCCTTAACTGTCTGTCACTGGTGACAATCGACCAATGAATCACTTCGTTGAGCACTTTCACACAAATTGAATGTCACATAAAAATGTACTTGTATGAATGTAGGCAATTGGCTTCCGGCATAAAGCAGGGAGATATGGCTATGAAAGTGAAGGAAAGATTGTGGAAATTGCAACTTACGGGTTGGTCCTGTGTTCAGGATGATGCTAGTGAAGGTACCATTTCCGCCTCCATTTCCTTCGGCATTTGGGAGTGATGATAAGCCGATTGAAATTTCATAATTTGTCAAGGGCATAAGACCCGTCAGAGTAAGTTCATCCACTCGAGTTGGGTATTCAACCACTCTTATCTCTTCAGTTGGCGGTGTCATGTTGAGGTTTTTGATGATGACCTGTTGGGAAGAACAAAATGAGGATCATTTAGAAGCATTTTTGCTGAAGGCTTCCTACATCCATTTAGTGGTTGACCACTTATACACACAGATTGTCATATGAACCGCATAAGCAGGTAGAAGTTTATGAGATGGAAAAGATCAATGGTTGCTTCGATGGTGACTGGTTTGTGGTGGTATATGGGACGTGAGCCGATTTGTCATAGGGTGGATAGTGGGAATAAAAATATTCGGCTAGAAGTGGGCTGTGGAGATCCAGAATGGAGGCTTTTTACACAATACTAAGTTATGGAGTACAGAATGAAAGGTGTACAGGTCGAATCTCGGTATAAGCAAAATGTTAATAACGGAATTCCAGTAAAACTGGACAAAGTTATTCTTCATTACAGTGAAATTGTTTCTTTTTTTATCCATCATATTTCATCATAATGGAATGGCTTGTGCAAAAAACAAAAGTATCCTTATTACGAGATTTAACCTGTATCTTGCTTCAAGCACCAAATGCCCATAACCATCGTACAGCTCGAATTGTCAAAAAAATGTATTAACTAATAGCGGAGTGTAGATACGAAGAGAAACTTGGTTTCGATGAAGCCCCTGAGATAACATTGTTAAGGGAATTTCTGTTTGTATGAAAGTGAATGAAGAATAAAATCGTTGGTAGATCACATCAGATAAGGATGGATGAATCTCGTTGTACTGCAGCAGTTTGGCTTTTATGCGATGTTCATGTTGACGCAGTCCACGAAACTTCCTCCCTCGTTTCGGTTGAAAACGAGTTGAGCTTTCGTCCATCAACTGTTGGACATCATCAGAGCTCGGTGTTATTCTTTTAAAAATCTCACGTTAACACTAGACCAAGAAGTCTACCTGCTTCTATCTAACCTCTTATATAGACTCAATTAAGCCAAAATAAAAAAAAACCTAGATAGATAAATAGATAGATAGATAGATATAGGTATATAGATGAATAGATAGATAGATAGATCAATAAAAAGAAAGAAAGATAGATAGATAGATAAATAAAATAAATAAATAAATAAATAAATAAATAAATAAATAAATAAATAAATAAATAAATAAATAAATAAATAAAATAAGTAAATAAATAAATAAATAAATATATATATATATATAAAGAGTGGTTTGGCTAATTATCTTTCATACTGGTCCTGCTACTTTCGCTCGAGTGTATGTATGTGTGCGTGTTAGCGTCTATACGCAATACCGGTCCTAAATCAGAGTTATGAAAAGGTTAAAGTTAGGCTCTGATCA